ATTACATGACATCATTACATCAACTTCCCATAATGATTAACAGACTTTACATTTCAGCAAGTGTGTCATACAATTTGAATGCAGTTTTAAATAATTGATTCATTCATACAATAACTGGAGAGTTTAATCTCTGCACCTGCATTCACTTATGTTCTATGATCAGAGTGGTACACATGCCATCATCACTTCCTCTCAGATAACATAACACTGGAGAGAGTGTCGGCATCGTTGTGTGAGCACATTCATGTTTCTGTTCGGCCCGTTTCATCAGCGACACACTGTCGCAGGAAAAAAAAATAAATCAAAAAAGGTATACACAAAAGGTTGTTTCAGACGGCAGTGATTAACAGACATTGTCAGTACTGTGTGTGTGTGGTGTCTACAGGTGATTTGAAATGGAGCTGCTGACTGATGGTCGGATCGACTCTTCCATTATCAGAGCAAGGATGTGGCACATTTCCTTAGCCTGAAAGAGACATTGACAGATGGAATCAGAGATAAATGCACAAATGAAAGTTTTTTTCAAAGTTTATATTTTAATAAGTGTCATATACTAACTCACAGTCGCTAACGGTAATAACCTAACCCTGGTGTTTTTTTGTTTATTTTACATTGCCTTAATGCTGTATGCAAAATTCAGTTTCTTTTTTCTTACCACATTAAAAGCCCATAAAAAGAAAAGCATTGAAGATGTAACCCTTTTCTGTCTCAAACTGGGCTTGCACATTTGAAAAAGGTGATTCAAATGACCACAGAGCACAGCTGTCACACAAAAAAAGGAAATTCATGTTTTGTTGTTCTCTGTGTACTGTACATGAACAATTTAAATTTTTTAAATTTTATATACTGTATTAATCCCCAGTTATGGAAATTCTTCTATACACTCTATTTATTTTTTATACACACACACAAACACACACAGGCCGAAACACACATGCAGCATGCAGGGCCCTTGTAGACATGCACAACAGAGAGAGGATTGGTGGAGTGATGGGTCCCTCATTAGCGGCGCCATAAGCAGTTCTTGGGGTTAGCGTATTGCCTTGCTCAAGGGCACCTCGGCAGTGCACAGGAGGTGAAACTGGCACCTCTCCAGCTACCAGTCCACACTCCATATTTTGTGGTCTGTGGGACTTGAACCGGCAACCCTCTGGTTCCCAAGCCAAGTCCCCACACACTGAGCTACTGCCGCCCCCATTTTTGGGGTATATGTGTGTTCACTTTCTTGGCATGAGTTAGATGAGAAGATCGATGCCACTCTCATGTCTGTACACTAATGATGAGGCTAAAGTCAGCCAACCAGTTAGCTTAGCTTAGCATAAAGACTGGAAACAGGGGGAACAGTTAGCCTGGCCCTGTGCAAATGTAACAAAATCCACCCATCAGCACTTCTACAGCTCACAAATTAATCCATTTTACCCTATTAAGTGTAAAAAAAAAATAGTTGTGATTTAATGGGGTTACATGCTGTATTATTTCCTGAGCAGTTGCCAGACCGTTTCCTCCTGCTTCCAGTCTTTATGCTAAGCTAAGCAGCTGTTGTCTTTACTTTTCATATAAACTGCAGACATGAGAGTGGTGTCAATTGCATCTAACTGTTGAGTGAGTAAGAATATTTTTCAAAATGTATTCAATTAAAATTGTCTGAAATAAAAGCTCCACAGGTAGCGCCGGTAGCTCTGCCAGGTGAGCTACCGGGGCTACCAGAGTGTCATCCCCTCTCTCTCTCTCCCCCTTTCTTGTCTATCTTCAACTGTCAATAAAAGGCAAAAAGCCCAAAAATATATTAAAACACATAAAAATAAAAGCTCCAGTCCTGCAGGAAATATGAATAAATTGAATTAGTGGTGTCCGAACTGTCCAAGCTCACAGATATTTCATATCTTATGATGTCTTATAGGGGTTTTTTTCCCGTCCCTGGCCAGCCTTTGCTCACAGCGTGTAGGGGAAGGCGAGAGAGGGTTTTTAATGAGCACCATGCACAGCGGTAGCCATCTTGGGTATGTTAACACACAGACACAAATCCTCACATAAAACACACCATCTATCCCTTGTGACATCTTTTATGTTTTGCTCTTTCAGGACATTACTAGCAGGTGGGATGGGGTCTGTGATGCTGGACGAGTACGGCTGGGAAAGCATGTTCTACAGTACCGGTTTCCTGTCCGTACTCTGGGCGCTCGTTGTTTGGCAGTGTTTCCTAAAAGGTACGGTAACTACTGCACTAGTCAGTCATGCATCCATGAATAACCATGACCACAGGTTGTCACCTAGTCAGTATGGAGAAAGATAAATGAGCCTTCCTTAGCTCTGCCTCTTTCAGCTACTGGATGGATTGTCATGACATTTGGTATACGCATTCATGTCCCCCTCAGGTTGAGTTGTAGTAACTTTGGTGACCCCTTAAAGGTCCAGTGTGTAACAATTAGGAGGATGTATTGGCAGAAATGGAATATAATATTTATACGTGTGTTTTCATTAGTGTATAATCACCTGAATATAGGACATTCGAATCAGCCTCAACTGCACTTGAGTATTATTTGTACTATGTTGCAAAATGACCAACAGTGTTACAGTAATATATAATATGTAATTATAATGTTCAATGTGTGTTTCAGGCGAAGTTGTCCCCAAGCAGATGAAATTGAGTAATGACTCACAATGGAGTGTGTCAAAAAAACGCTGGCTCAGTCTTTTTAAGAAGCCACCCGTCTGGTACAGTTTATATTCTTTAATTCTTCAATGTTTATTCATACAGTTCTTGCAGTGCTGTAATACTCGAGTCCAGTCTCAAGGCTTTTTTTTCTATTGTCAAATTTTCTAGTTGGTCTCGACCGAGTCCAGCAATGTTATTGTTTTTTTTTTCTGAAGTAACCTCCTCCTTCAAAGCAGAGCCACTGATGTAGCGCCCTTGTTCAGAAAACGGGTTGTAGTTCAATTTAAAATCCTTAGAATGGGCCACCTGGTAACCATGGTTACTAATGAACGTCACTTTCAATCGTATGCCTGGTTGCCAAGGTTGGTGTTGACTCTCTCATGTGGACTCTGTCTTGACCTGGACTAGTCCTGGTCTTGGACTTGTCTTGGACTTGTCTTGGACTCGCCAAAGGTGGTCTTGACTACAACACTGCATGCTTGTTTGAGTTTCCAGCCTAACCTGTCTCTCCGTCTTTGTCGTCTTCTTTCGATAGGGCCATGGTGTTTGCTCACATGTGCATGTGCAGCACGTCCTACACTTTACTGTCATGGTTGCCAACATACTTCAAAGAATCCTTTCCACATGCCAAGGTATTTGTTGATTCCGCCCTATGTTTTTATTTAGGCTATAAACATGTTCAATGTGACGCTGAAGACTCCAGAGACGCTCAAGCTATCCACATTATTTAAATGCCATAAGAAAAACAGGTTAATGTAACCACTAACTTGTCTATTCCTGCAGGGATGGGTGTATAATGTAATTCCATGGCTAGCTGCAATCCCATCAGCACTTGGTGGAGGATATGTTTCAGATTTTCTCATCAACCGAGGTATTAATATAGTGTCATTATTCCTTTATTGTTTTTATGTGCTTTTAGGTCAGTTACTGTATCTTTCCTCAAAAACAACATGTATGTTCACCAAAACATCTTGTGTTTTCTTTTTCTGTAGGATATGGTGTAGTAACTGTGAGAAAGATAATGCAGGTAAGTGTTAAAAAAAAACAGTTGTGATTGTACAGTCGTTCACCACAGTTGTGTTTCTAAGTGATTAAACACTGTGTCTGTGTGGTGCAAAGGTTTCTCGCTGCTTAGGTGTGCAATGTTGGAATTTCTGTGCTTGTTTTAAACATGTAATTACAAGCCTTAAAGCCTACCCAAGGCAAGAGATGTACAAGAACTGTAACAAGTAATTGTTCTGGTCAAATAAAGTACATAGTTATACTGTATAATGGAAAAGTTTGGCTTACTGATTAATAACAAACTGCATCAGACACTTGGACTAAGTTTTAATCTGAATCAATACAAACCTTAATGGAGTTGAAAGTCATATAAAGTTCAAGCTTTGTTGCAACACTTTTTAAACTTTTATATAATGGACTGTGCCTTTTAAATATCTCACCTGCATGTCTCTCTCCTCAGTTCTTTGCCATGGGCGTATCGAGTATATTTATCTTGCTTCTGTCTGGAGCTGTCACATTTCCCTCCGCTGTGATTTTCGTCTCTGCTGCTATATGTTTATACACCTTCACCAGCGGGTATGTTCAATTATTGTTGTGTGTTTAAGATATTTGCACAACCTTAAGTAATTAACCAGGAAAGAAAGATTTGTCCAGTTGAGCTTCAGTCAATATTTAAAGAATAATGCTCGCCTTATTCTTTATTTCTGTTAATGTTAACGTATTCTTGTGTAAAGACTGAAAGTATGTGTTAGTTACACTCAGCATTTTACACAGAACACAGTAAGTGTTTTACATAAGAAAAACAAACCACATGGTTGCACAAATCAGGGGGAAGTAGTTTGTCTGCATTATAGTAAAAAAAGAGAGGTTGTGTTTTTGTGTAATATGTTGCAAAGCCTGTTAGCAACTCTGCCAGTACACTCACGTGTCACAGTGCCTCTCAACACACAACCTTTAATTCATGGTGGTGGTGACTGAAGCCGTCAGTGCTCTGCTCACTCTTTGCTGCCGTTCATACAGCATTTCAAAAGCCCCACCTTCACCTCATAGTCCACCTGTAGTTCTCTGAGTCTTTAATGAAGGAGAGTTACTGTTATGGCTCCCTCACTTTATACAGTCGCATAGGAATGTATAAAATATAATATAGAATATCACCAGACTTATCCTTCACATCCAGTCCCTATTTTTATAGTCAGGTTCAGTGTGCTGTAGATGTAGATTCTGCTGTTTATGTATTATATATGTATTCAATGTGTTTCAGTGGTGTGTCAGTGAACGTACAGGATCTCACCCCATCGTGTGCCGGTGCCCTCTATGGTGAGTTTCTATCAGCCGACATTTCAGTTTCATCTGAGTTGTTGTTGATAGACATTTGATCACGTTTCTTTTTCTGCAACAGGTTTCATGAATATGCTGGGTGCTTTTATGGGTATGTATTCAAGAGGTTTATTACTTTTTTATGCTGTATTTAGGTCTACTTTTCAATGTCGTATCTGGAATTTAAAAGTGTAAATGAGTTACTGCTGGCACTGATCTCAAATGCCTCCTGTCCCTTTGCTTGGTGTGTGTTGCAGGACTGGTGTTGGTCTCGCTGTCGGGTTACCTGATTGAGGTCACGCTGTCGTGGGCCACCGTGTTCTCCCTCATCAGTTTAGTAAATGCCACAGGCCTTGGGATTTTCCTCATCTTTGGAGATGCTCAGCGTGTCGACCTGGAAGATTACAGACGGGTTATGGTGATTTGACCCAGACCCTTTTGTCTGTATCCGATCTGGAAGACAGGGCATTCAAATCTCTATCCATAGTACAAATAAAAGTGGAAGTACTGCAGACTTCCTCTTGAAAATGAAGGAACCTGAATATTCCAGGCAAGTTTTAGTTCTGTTGTGTTTACTGTAAGGCAAGTTTATTTATAAAGCACATTTCA